CGGCGCTCTGGTGCCCCCCCCACGGCCGGCCCCCCAGCCACTCTCACCTTGGGTACAAGCTAAACTCCTCCACTGGGCCGTTCCCGGGCCAAAAGCCAAGCACCAGAGACGCTCGCATTAGAGAAATGGGGCCGTGAGGTATCACTCATACCCTTAAGTGGCGGCTTTCAAGCTTCCTCCAGCTCCACAGCAGTCTAAGCGAGGATGCAGCTAGTGGAGGTTTCGGGCTCCTGAAGGCAAGCTCTGCTGCACGGTTCTGGCTTGCAGCTCTGACCCAAACCCCCTCGGGCAAATCATTTAGTGTTTCTTAAGGCCCTAAAACCCCTTCGCAGAAGGGGATGTATTTCTCTTCCCTTGCTGGGTAGGTTTTATGGTTAAATGGCAGCGAGTGCAAAAGCAGCAGCTACATGTTTGCTGCTGGCGGGAGCCTACAGTTTAGGCATGTGTTAGGCAGAACCAAGTTTCCCGTGCTAGTGTTAGTGGTCCGGGACCACCTGCCTCTCCAAAGCCTCCCTAAGGGAAGCACTTTGTGCTCAGCGCAGAGGCTTCCCCCCCTCCCACACCCCAATCACGATGGACGCACTTTCACCACCAGCGGGGACAGAAGTGGAACGGAGCCAAGCCCAAAAAGCAGTGGCAGCCAGCACAGGCGCCGCTCACCAGGGAAAAAAGCGACTTGCCAAGAGCTCAGGGTGCTACCGACGTAACGACACACTGCCGGTCCCAGGCAAAAGGTAAATAAAAGCTGCCCCTCGTCCCACTTGCCCAATAGCCCACGCGGCTTCGGGTCCCGGCCCGGAGAGGCGCCAAGGCGAGCCACGCGCAAAGCTACTTCACCATCTTGGAGCCGTACGGGCTTGGTTCAGGTGGGCAAAAGCAGGATTGGTGTTTACCAGTGTTTTGATTTGCTCCTGATGGTCAAAGCAATCCAAGCAAGAAAACTGCATTTTTGAACAATAAGAGCCCATGGGTATGGCCAAAAAAAAAGAAAACGCCCCACACCGGAAAAGATCAATCAGCAGATATATTTGTGCTGCATCTACAAGGAGAGAGACGGTGCTACCAACCATGGAGGATGAATGCGCTAACCGAACTACACCACACTACACTTGTGAGGGAGGATTTTGCAGTGGTCGGCACAAGACCCTCTAACGTATATGACACCGTGTCAAGCTTCACCATATCCCCAGGTCAAGAAGCTACCTAGCACAGTGGCCTGTCTTTCTAGTCTAGAAAGATCCCTCACTCCTACCAAAAAAAAAAAAAAAAAAAACCAAAAGACAATATGAAGCCAAGGGAGATCCTAATTACTGGTCTTAACTGCTTAGCTACAGTATGGCAGTTGGCTGATAAGGACAAAATGGACGTCAAAATCTCTCCACATCGCACCTCGAGAGCAGTGCTCAAGGCTGCAGGCAAGGCTCACCAGGCCAGCACACAGCTCGACGCAGCATTCGGGAGCTCCGATGCTGGCGCTCTCATCCCGCTTGGTCACCACGTCCCATGACCTGGGAACAAGAGGTTTAGACTTCCTCAAGCAGGCTAAGCAGAGAGC